AATAAACAATCTCACAAGGCCGTGAAATATACTCAACAGGAAGCTATATACCAAGAAAACATGGAAGCAGCTCAGGCTGCTGATGCTGCGAGAGTCCTTGTCATGTCATCAAGGCAAAGAGCAGATCCACAACGATCTATGAATTCAGAACACAATGTTTCTAACATATCACGATTTTCAGAATTAACTTTAGGAACTAGTTCTATCAATAATGTTGAAAGTAGTCCACGTTCTAGTAGATATACAGGGTCTGTTATAATGGATTATTCCATTTCAGCTAGCCTTAATGACGATTTCATAACAAATGAACAAGAAATTGGCCTGACGCCACATAATAGAGGGCATAAAATGAAAAATAGAGCTGCTGCTTTAGATAGCGGTGTTAAACTACGTGCTCCATACGGTTATCAAGAAGATTTAGAATACATTGATATACCTAATGGTTCAAGACGCCCAATTATTTATCGTATATCCACAGAAGATGCTGAACAAGTCACGGAGTTTGATGGTGATTTACTAGATAGTCCATATAAGGATATTAATGTTAAGGAAATTCTTGATCCGTTAAAAAAGCCAGAAGATGCAGTAATAAAATTGCATTACAAACATATCTTTAAAAGTAATCATCTTAATTCATTAGCAAGAGTATTGTGTGAAAAGATTGAGAAAGAGAAAATATTCAACATGAAATTAAGTAGATTGATGTATGTGCTGCAAGGTGATGATGTTATGCTCCAAGATTTGGATTTTCGACTTAATCCACCCCCAGAAACTGTCAGTACACGTGGTGTTAAGGCAGAAGAGGTTGAAGGTGGATTAGGTTTTGGAGTTCTAAACGTGGGTTTACAAGGGAGCGATAGGAGCAGAGGTAAACTTGCTCAAGAGACGAAAGATCCAGGATTAGAAATCATGATACAAGTTCGTAACGAATTAACGTCTTTACTTGTGGTTAGTAATGAGATATTGAGGCGCTATCAAGAAACATGGGAAGGACTAAGAAGGGCAATTCGACGTAGGGATGAAGTATACTGTAAGCTGCGTGAAATTGACGCATTGCGTCAAAAAGAGGGTCAATGATTTAGGAATTGACCGATCAGAAAGACCTTTATAAAATAGGTTTTTGTAAAGTTTAGATATACAGGTATTGGATATTAATTGGTAATATAAACAAGAATAAAGCAAAAAAAAAACGAAATAAAATAAATAAAAATAATGCAGAAAAACAAATAAAAATAAAACCAATTCGAAGTTAAAAAAAGAACATTTTTAATAATGCTGGACTATGCAACAAGCATTAGATATTAAAATTGGTTTTTTTTAAAAAATTTTTTATTTGTTAAAAAATAAGCATTAGGCTTATTATTTAAGATTTTATTTTGAAAGCTAAGTTGGTTAGTTATTTTGTTGTTTAATTAGATAATTTTATTAGATTACTTCAACTATAAATATTTTTATAATTTTCTCAATTTAATTGTTTTATTTTTTAAAATTGTTATATTTTTTAAAAAATTAGATTTTTTATAATAAATTAATATTTTTTGTAGTTCATATATATAATACAGTATTTAAAACAATTTTTATTTTTATTTTAGAATAAATAATACACGATGCACTTGTATATTGCGTTTTTATATAAACAACTAGCCAGTATTTTTTTAGTACCCACGATTTGTAGTTTGATATTTGAGTAATTATTTTTTGATAGTTATTAGGTGTAAAAAAAAATTATTTATTGAGAAAATGTGAGGTTGTGTTAGGAGAATTGATTGGTTGATTTATAATATTTATTGCAAAAGTTATTATTGATTAATATTTTTTAATTATAATGTTATAGATATAATAATTAAATTTTAATTTTGGGTTAAATAAATTAATTTTTGATTTTTTTGATTTTTGTATTTTGAAAATTTTTATTTTTTTTTTATATTAAAGATAGTAAATTGTAAATTGATTGGTTTATAAGAATGTAATATTTTGTATTTATATTTGAAATTTATAGAAGAGTATAATGGAAGTTTGTTTTGATTAGTTATTTATTTTATATTAAAGAGTATTGTTATACAAGTTTTTATATTGATTTATAATAAAAATTTTTATTTAAATAAAATATAATTATATTTTTATAATTAAAAGTTGTTTAAAATTTTGTTGAATTATTTTTTAAATATTTAATTTTTATATAAATATTAGAGATCAAGTGAGATTAAGTAGTTTATTAATTTTTATTAGAAGTTATTTTGATAATATTAATATATAATATAATATTGTAAAAATAAGTTTTTTTAGTTTTTTAAATGAAGTAACTTTTAAAAGTTAAATTTTTTTTGAATAAGTGTTTTAAATTTCATGTGAATAAGTTAAGATTATGTAATTGTTTTGTGAATTTTTTGAAATATTATAAAAGTATTAGATTTATAAGTATTAGAAATAATATGTGTTAATTTTTAATTTTGGTTGGTTAGAATTTGTACAGATTATCTAATAAAAATAAACTTTTATTATGTTTTATATAAATAATTTATAATTGATATAACTTTAACAGCCTGCTATATAAGGGTTTATATTATTAATATTGTATTTTTTTTTCAATACAAAATATAATTTTTAATAGTTATAGAGATAAGAGATAGGATAGTATTGTATATTTTTTAAAATAGATTAAATATAGATACTGTGATTATATATTTCAAGGGTTTTTGAACTTTAGGAGTTGAGTTTATTTTTAAAATAGAAAAGTATTGTTTTTATAATTTTTGATTATTATTTTGTACAATATATAATTTATTAAAATTATAGATTTACGAAGCTATGAAAGTTTTGAAGATTGTGAAATTATATTTGTAAAATTTACAAAATTTGTTGAATTTTTGAATATGTATAAAGTAGATTTTTGTAATTATGATATGAATTTTTTTATTTACTTATTAGGTTTGTATTGATCTTTACTAAAAAAAGAATATATAAAAAATCAAATAATAAAAAAGGATATTAGAAGATAAAAGAAGAAAAAAAATATGATGATGAAAAAAAAAAATAATTAGGGTGATTATTTAGTTTTTTACAATATATAAAGAAATAGTTATAAAGTAAGTTGTGGTTAGTATATGTTTATGAAAAGATGTAGAGATTTGATTTAGAGATATTTTCAAGTCTTTGATATTCTTGTATAACTCTTTGATTAGTCATGAATGCTAATTTATCAAGATAAGATATTTTAATATTATTTTAGTTAGAGTATTTGCTAAGGGCTATATAAGCTTGGCCTGGTAAAAAAATATTTCATATAAACATATTTACAAAATTAAATTAGGGTTTTTTAGAGTTTGCTTTTTTTTAAATTTTAAAAGCAAATAACTTTTAATTTATAAATTTTTAAAAAATAATAATATTATTATTAAATTCATCTCTTTAATATGATTCTAACAAGTTCAAAATCATCTAAATCTAATCACAGGATTAAGAGATAAAGCTTGATCAAATAAGTATTTACCTCATATTGTAATATAGCATTATTAGACCTTTGGTTAACAAACTACAATATTTGACTGGGTGTTCAAGTGGTTAAGAAATATGTTTTGATATAATTTTATGATAGAAAATAATTTATAAGAAGATTAAATATTGTCGACTTATTGCTAATGTGATTTCAACAAAAAAAGGTTATAACCAACAATTTATAGACTCAAGATAGAATTTATTAATTCAAAGAATATTCAAATGAATAACTCAAATAAAACAAATAGAATAACTTAAGAAAAATACAATAATTCTAAGAAAAATATTACAATTTTGACAGAAAAACAAATAAAGATTATAATGGTATTTAAAGAAGAAAATAGAAATAATCTAAGACTCAAGACAA